CTCTTCACCATCCATCATGATGCAGTCAACCATTCCAGTGGTGAGAATCTTCTTTTCTTCAATCCATATTGAAGGCTGCAATCCCTGACCTTCTGCAGCAAGTGCTTCAGGTCTTTCTCAGTTTCAGCGAGCAGGGTGGTGTCATCTGGATGGCGCAAGATATACCTTGTTGTTGTTGTTGTTACAGCGCAATTCGTCTTAATTTCCTGGCTGCTAGTACCAAGAGTATTGATTGTAGTGCCAAGCAAGTTGAAGCTGTCAACAATCTCAATCTCTTCAACATCTGTCATGATGCTGCCAATTGGTCCAGTGTTAGGCATGTAAAAAAACTTGCTTTTGACTTAGCAATGATGGGTTATCCTGGAGAAAGATAGGCAGTCTCCTTCCATAAAGATTTACAGCCTGAGAGACAAGATGAAAGATACCTATGAGTCAGAATCAACTCCACAGCAGTGAGTTTGACTTTTGGTTCTGATGAGTTTGGCTCCTGAATCCGGTATAACAGTCTGCACACACCAGAAGGACAAGGATGTCCTAAGGGGAGACGTGAGCTGAACGATCATAGTGATCGAAACCTATGGCGCCACAACAGCTTTGTGGCTGTTGACGGCAGAGACAGGGATCTCTCTTGTGCTCTTACAGCCTCCCCTAGTGGCTTCTACCCCAGCCTTCTATATGAATATTTCTAAATATGAAGTAAGAACTGTCACTGCATCTTGTCATAATTCTCTAAGACATTAAAAATATATCTGCAGATTCTGAAGTGACATCTGCTGATGTTTCAAACATTTATGCTACAATTGAAATATATTTGAATAGAAAGCTGATCAAAAGTATCTTATAAAAAAAGCTGATAGTTTTTAAATTTCATTTCTCAAATTGCAAGTGTTTTCTAAAACAAAATAAAATGTATTAAATATCCACTCATGATAAAAATATCCATTTTTCTGACTCCCTACTCAGAAAACTCAAAATCATTATAATAGAGTTTGAAATGACCAAGAGCTATGAAATGACCCTCTAGCAGGTTTTCCAATGAAGGTCAAGGATTTTAGCCTTAAATATGGATTGAAGATCAACATCAAGAAAACAAAAATTCTCACCACTGGGCCTATTGGCAGCATCATGATAGAGGGTGAAGAGATTGAAATTATTAACAGCTTTAGTTTGCTTGGCTCTGCAATTAACACTTGGTACCAGCAGCCAGGAATTTAAAAGAGAAATTGCATTCTGAAAGCCTGCTGTCAGAAACCTCTCCAAAGTACTGAAGAATAATGATGTCAATCTGGAGATTAAGGTGCACCTATCCAGGCCATGGTCTTTGACATTACTTTCTATGCATCAGAAATCTGGACACTGACTAGGGATGATAGAAGGAGAATTACTGCCTTTGAGCTGTGGTGCTGGAGAAGCCTAGTGAATATACCATGGACGGCTAGGAGAACAGACAAGTTCATCCTAGAGAAGGTGAGACCAGGCTGCTCCATGGAGGCAAGGATCCTGAAGCTTCATCTGACATATTTCGGACATATTACAAGGTGGGACCAGTCCTAGGAAAGGGACATCATGCTTGGGAGGGTGGAGGGACAGCACAAGAGAGGAAGACCCTCAATGAGATGAACTGACTCAGTGCCTGGGGTAAGAGGGGTAGGTGTGTCAGAAACAATAAGATTGCCACAGGATAGAGCCAAGTTTAGGGTTTTTGTACACAGGGTCACTATGAGTTGCAGGCAACTCAACAGCACATAACAGAAGTCGAACAGGAGAAGATTGTCCAAATTCTTCCCGTAGAACGGCTGATGGATTAAAACTGTCTGCACAGTGTGGTGTTCGGGGGAGCACCACAACTTCCTGTGGACTTGGTCACAAAACTTCCCAAGTCCCTACTAAAAGAACAACAAAAGCCACATACCCTCATTGTCATCAAGTCAGAATAGAGTTGACCCTCTGGTGAATTTTTTTTAAATTATTTTATTAATACGTTAATGAAAGTTTACAGAAGACTTGGATTTTCTTCCTCCCTACTCAACTCCCCAGTTCAATTTCCTGTTTAAAAAGATTCTTTTATACTTAAAAAAAAGATTCTTTTATTCTTTTTTTTTAAAACTTTTATTGTATTATTTTTACGTGTACCATCAAATCAGATCTGACTGGTACAGGAGGAGATTGCCCCTCCTTCTCCAGGAGAGTATCTGGTAGATTTGAACCACATACCTCTGGGATTGCAATGCACCGTCTTGCCACTAGGCCACCAGAGTTCCCTAAGATTCTTTTATTCTTGCAAAATTTCCTCCATTCTCCCATCCCCTCCCAGTCCACTTTGCTATGCACCTGTTATTCTGGGCTGTTGTAATGTAAATAATATTTAACATTTATTCCTTTTAAGCAGTTGTTTCTCTCATCTGTTACAATGTTGTTGTTGTTAAGTGCCATCAAGTGGTAGTTGTAGCAACTCATAGTGATCCTATGAACAAAAGATCTGGGCACTTGTATAACGTTCTTCCTTTCTCCAGGTTCACAGGGTTTACAGAGGCAAACTATTTTGGAAGTGGAGGCCACTCCTGCTTCTAAGCTTGTTTTAATTGGGGAGCTCCACCACACACTGCTCACTGTGGATAACCATTATCACATTTGACACATTAAAAAAAAAAATCAAGAACAAAACCACCCAAACATTCCACGAAGACCTTCAGCCAAAACAAGAGAGCCCATATTACAGAGTCCAGTCGCTCCACCCAGTTTCCAAAATGGAGACAAGACCTTGGCCTTAAATTCAAATTCCTGCAGGTATTATTGACTCTAAACACAATGCTTAAATAAAGAAAAAATCTGCACAGACCCTCAACCAAAACAAGAGCGCTATCATATAGAGTCAAGCCAACGGAAGTCCAAAATGGAAGACAAGGGATTTTCAATATATATTGTTGTTTTTAAGTGCCATCGAGTACTAACCCCATAAACAAAAGACTTTAACTTTGTTCTATAGCTATTGTCCTTTCTCTAAGTTTATAGAATTTCCACAGGCATGTTTAGGAAGTAGATGCTACTCCTGCTTCCAGGCCTGTCTTAATCTGTTAGCTAGCCAGATACTATTCATTATTTATCCCATCTTTTCTTAATTTTCCCTCAACCCCCATGTGAGTCCTGTTTTAAAATAGTGGCATTATGCAGTATTTGTCCTTTTGTGACTGAGATATTTCAGTCAACATAATGCCTTCTAGGATCACCCATTTTGTATTATATTTTATAAGTTTCTTGTTTTTCAGTGCTGTGTAGTGTTCCATTCCATGAATATACCACAGCTTCTTTATCCATTCATTTGTTAATGGGCACTTGGGTTACTTCCATCTCTTTGTTACTGTGAACAACACAGCAATAAACATAGTTGTGCATATGTCTGTTTGAGTGGCAGTTCTGGTTTCTTTAGTGTATATTCCTGGTAGTAGGATTGCTGGATCAACTGGTATTTCTATTTCCAACTTTTTGAGAAAGCACCATACTGGTTTCCAGAGCGGTTACATCATTTTACACTCCCACCAACAGTGAATAACTTCATCAGCATTTGTTGTTTGCTGCTCTCTTGAACTTTGCTATTGTTACTGGAGTACAGATCAAAAACCTTCTCCAACAGAGTAAAAAGGAAAGCCATTGACTGGCAAAAAATATTTGGTAAATGATATGTCCAATAAGGGACATATATCTAGAATTTATAGAATACTCCAGAGCCTCAACAAGATAAAGATAAACATTTCAATTACAAAATGAGTACAGAGTAAGAACAGACACTTCACTAAAGAAGGCATTCAGATGGTGATCAAACACATGAAGAAATGTTCAAAATCCCTCCTGCAAATTTTGTGCAGGTTACAAATCACGTGGAAAGAAATTGCCCATTGTTTAACCTCAGATCAGATAATAGATCTGAAGCAAAAAAGGTGCTATTTTTCCACTCAAAGCCCTACTGACTAGGCCACCAGAGCTCCCTGTGTTCCTACTGTTTCTCTTGTTATGTACAGACCAACAGCTGACCCTCCATTGGATTTTCAGAAGTAGTAAATCACACGAGAAGTGAATGTCCATCTTGTCGGCATGAAGTAGTTGATAAAGTCAAACCGTTTTTCTTTGGGTTAACAAAGTAGGCCACCAGTAGGCCACCAAATCTCCCTGTATCCCTGCTAGATTTATAAAAATATTTGCAAGCTCCTTTGGCACAGGGTTCAAATCCACTAGATTGCTGTGGAAGAAAGGCAATTTCCTCTCATGTGACTTACTGTCTCTGAAAGCCCAATGGATGCTAAGCTATGAGAAAGTTCCAACTTAATGGCTTATGACAACAATAACATCTTTATCATTCAAGACCCTTCATCTCTATTTCCCTGCACCTTTCTCACCATTTATTCTAGAGAAGTCCCAGAAGAGGCTCCCATTGACCTTGAGTTTGGACATGTTGCCCTTTCTGCAGGACACTATCCTTTCCCATTTTGATTAGGAAACTTCAAATTATGACAGTAAAATTTTATTTCCTCAGTTAAGGCTCCCCTCTACTCCCTGGAGGAGTCAGCTATGATCTACTATCTTCTGTGCCTCTACATTTTGTTCATATTTCCTTAAGAAAGTATAGAGAAAGCCTCATTATTTGCAAACCCGTCTTCTTTAGGAACTTGTAACTGTGATGGCAAGAATCAATTTATTCTAGATGTAACAATTTCTTGTCACCTAATAGGTGTTATCGAAGTTCATAGAGCTTCCAGAGGCATGTTGCTTAGGAAGTGGATGCCACTCCTGCTTCCAAAACAAACTGAGAGATATTCAGGAGTGTCACAGTGGATCATTAAAAAAAGGCTTCAGACCTTTTGTTCATAGGGTCGCTATGAGTCATGCTCGACTCCACAGCAATCAACAGTAACAACAAATAGATGTTATATACATAATTTAAAAAGAAGCGTCAACTCTCATTATGGCCTTTTGGGGCAATAGGAGATTCTGAATATTTGACTGACCTGGAACAACCTGGGGAGTGTAGTCTGGAGGAGCATCAGACTTTGGCTCTTGCGACTCTGTTTTCATTTCACGGGCTTGTTGTTCAGGAGCTGTGGGCACAACACCTGGGAAGCAAGAGAGAGAAATGATTTATAAAGGGGGAATATTAATATTAATATTAATAATAATAATAAACTTGATTTGTGTATGTGTTTATTGTTAACTTTAAAAAAAATAAATATAGCCAATGTGAAACCAGCTATTTTATTCCATATATATATGGAATATGTATTATAAAGTAAGACTAATCAACTTCATTATGATTGTGATTAAAGTGAGCTGTCATACTAATGGCTCAGCTGACTCTTGTCCGTATAAATAAATTTCTCCCTAGAGATAAGAAAAGTCTTTATTCTATTTATATAATGTAAACAGCACAGGGAGAGATAGCAAAAACTAGTTTTCCTCTCAAATATTTTTTGTACAGTAAATATGTATAAGTAAATACAAACCATAACATAATAAATGCTCAATCACATTTAAGCAATAATTTAACTGACATTTCTAGGGAATCAGATTTTACCTTACTTTTATAAAAACAATCTGCGTCAATTTCAAGAAAGATATCTTTTCTTAACATTATGCTTGGATCAGATGTCAGTCTCTAGACTTGACATCACTGCTTTTAAATACTCTTTTTTTTTTAAATACTCTTGAGACACCTGATAGCAAACATTGCTAAGGCAATTCATCTTTTGATTTCTTGTTTGTAGGTGCCAAGAATAGATTAATTGTAGATGCTCAAACAGGATGAAACTGTTAACAATTTCAATAACTTCACCATCTATCATGATGCTGCCAGTTGGCCCAGTGGGTGAATCTCTTTTCTTGACATTGAGCTGCAATCCATATTGAAGTCTGCAATCCTTGACCTTCTACAGCAAGTGCTTCAGTTTCTTTTCAGTTTCAGCAATCAAGGTTGTGTCCTCTACATAACTCAGGTTGTTGATGAGTCTTCCTCCAATCCTAATGCCACATTTCTCCTCATAAAGCTCAGCCTCCTAAATGATCTGTTCTGCGTATAGATTGAAGAGGTATGGAGCCAGGATGGATCCCCGTCTCATGCTTTTTCTGACTTTGAACCATGCAGTGTTTCCTTGCTCTATTCTAATGACTGCTTCCTGGTCTAAGTATAGGTTTCACAGGAGCCCAATCAAGTGTTCTGGAATTCCCATTGTTCCCAATGTTAATCACAATTTGTTGTGATCCACACAGTCAAATGCCTTTTTATGATCAAGAAAACAAAAATAAACATTCTTCTGATACTGTTTTCAGCCAAGATCCATCTGACATTGGCAATAATGTCCCTAATGCCTAGTGGTTTCTTATAAAACCCTACTTGTATTTCTAGCAATTCTCTGCTGATATATTGTTGTGAGCATTTTTGGATAATCTCCAGCAAGATTTTGCTTGCATATGGTATTTGTGATATTAAGATTCCCAAACTCTGTTGGACCAAATTTTTGGGGGACTAGTAACAAATATGGATCTCTTCCTGTCAGCTGGTCAGGTAGCTGTCCACTAGATTTCTTGGCACAACCTAATGAATATGTCCACGGTTGCATCTGTGGTTAAAATATGTTAATTGGTATTCCATCAATTACTGGGGCTTTGGTTTTTTTACCATTTCCTGCAGAGCAGCTTGAACTTTCACCTTCATCACCACTTCATCTTGATCATATGTTGTTTAAGTAAATTCTTCTGTGTCAGCCAATTCTGTTTTATACAGTGACTGTGTACTCCTTTCATCTTCTTTTGATGCTTCATGGATCATTCAATATTCTACCAACAGCATATTAAGTACTGCAACTCAGGGCCTGAATTGATTCTTCAGTTCCTTCAGTTTAAAAAATGGTGAGTGAGTTAATTCCTTTTGATTTTCTGACTCTAGTTCTTTGCTCATTTTGTTATCATACTTTGCTTTATTATCTTGTGCTGTCCTTTGAAATCTTCTGTTCAGTTCTCGACTTCTTGATTTCTTCCCTTTGTTTTGGCTTTTCAGTGTTCTAGTGCAATATTCAGAGTCTCTTCTGGCATCCTTCTTGATTCTTTTCTTCCTTCCCTGTCTTTGTAATGAACTGTTTTCATTCTTTATGAATGATATTGTGAGTTGTGGTGTTGGAGAAGAGTACTGAACACACCATGGACTGCCAAGAGAACAGATAACTCTGTATTTGAGAGGGTGAAACAAGGTTGTTCTCGGAGGCAAGGATTTTAAAGCTCCATCTCACATACTTAGAGTATGTTGCCAGTAGGGACCATACCTTGGAAAAGGACATGATACTTGGAAGAGTGGAGGGTCAGCTCAGGAGATGAAGACCTGGGATAGGAATTACTGTGGTAATGGGTGCAGATGTGTCAGAGTCAATGGGATTGGCTCAATAAAGGGCAAGGTTCAGAGCTATTGTTCAAAGGGTCGTTTTGAGTTGTAGTCTCACATAATGACACCACCACCAAGTCTTATCATTGAGACTGGAGAAGTTTCTTCCTAGTCTTAGTATGCGATCCCCATAAATGTCATTTTCTTTCACTTTCCAGTCCTCCTCCATCAAGGTAGGCTTGAAGTCCTTAGAAGGATTTTAATTCTATCATCTCTTAGCGGACTTACTTAGTATTTTATTTTTCTTCTATCAAGTTTTCCCCACACACTTTAAATCTTTCAGCACTTAACTGACTTTTAATTCCTTTAGACATAAATGTTGAAATGTATAAATGAATAGAAATATATATATTCCCTTAATGTTAAACAATAATAGAAACAACTTCAAAAATAAAGGAATGCAATTGAGGAAAGCAATTAAACAATTCACCACTAAAAAGCATGTTAAATTTGGTTCGCAAAACTTACCTGACATTATGATGAATTCTAATTAATTCTGAAAAAGAAAACATTTTAATGTTTTAAAATACAAAATTACATTCATCTCCTATTATTAGTTAATGATAACAAATTTTATAACTATAAATCTTTACATTACCTTATATTCAACAAGTACATATTGAATGTCTTGTAGCAGGCACTATTATAGAATCTGAAATATGCAGTCAAACCAGACAGATAAGGTGTCCACTCTACTGGGGTCATGTACTATGGAGCATCTCCATACTAGGTGAAGACTAAAAATGAAAATATTAACAAAGGCAGTGATTAACTGAGTGTTGATCAAAGGTCAGGGACAAGGCTAAGCATTATTCATATACTTTCTACTAGGCAAATCTCTTTACGATGCCTACTGTTACCTCCATTTTATAGATGAGAAAATAGGTTTAAAGTGATAAAGTTTGATATAAAATATAAATATAATTTTAATACAAAATTCATATAGCTAAGTATATAATCAGCCTTACTAAAGTTCTCTCTGGATATAAACTTGACTCTGTGAAAGGCGTCATGGCATAAACCAGCATTTAGATTCTCAGCCCAAATAATCCTCTTGCCAAACTTGAGTTAAAGAGGATGATCAGGCTTAGACTGTCTCTACAGTATTTCTAGAGCATGAGTTAGTTAAAATGCCTTACATGTCTCTACAAAAGTATGTTAGGGTACACCCGAATTCAGGGCTAGGTCATGGAGTTTAAAAAAATTGGTTGTATGCACTCTACGATAAAAATCTCTGGTGTTTAGAGAAACAACCACACCCTTTTGGAACATTAAGTTCTAGAAAAGCACACCCTGAATAAACTCTTGCACTGATATTCAGAAGATATGTGCAAAAATGTTCTTGAAATCACTGTTCCCAGTAAAAGAAATGAGAAACATTTCCTGTGTATTTCAGTGATAGTTGGTGGTAGACAAATACATTGTGATCTATTTGTACAGTGAAACAGGGTGTTGTAGGGAAAGAAGAAGAAAAAATAAAGCACAAACAAAACCACAAACTACAGCCACAGGAGTCAACAAGGATAGATCTCAAAGATAGATTGAGCAAAATAGGAAAATCAAGAGGATATATGTGGCATTGACTCATTTTTGAATGTTCAAAAGAGGAAAGGCTCAAGAGGGGCAGGGCTGGGAGAATGGGTAGGAGAGAAACCACAGAGTTGCACATTTTGGTGGGTGGAGGGAGAGGACAAAGGAAATGGGAAGGATCTGGGTGAAAAGACAGGGTAATGATGGGCAAGGTCCAATGGGGATTAATTTTACAAAAGATAATGCATGGGAATGATTTTATGAATCAGTGTGACTGAATAGTGGGAAACACAATGTGGACAAACTTTGTAAGCAAACAATTTTTTTTTAAAGAAGAAAAGCAAAAAAACCAAAAAACAACCAAAAACCAAAAGAACAAAACCCAACACCCTTTTTTGTGATTTTAACAAAGGTTTACAGGAAAGTTGTATTTTCATTCATTCATAGTTTCACATTTTCCTCCCTACTTCTCTCAGTACACTTAAAAAAATATTCATTGTATCATTTTCTCCCTTCTCCCCTCCCCATTTCACTTTGCTTGTACCTCCTATTCTTCACTGTTGTAAGACAAAGAATACCTTATCATATATTCCTATGAAACAGTTTTTTCCTTCATATGTTCCAATGTAGTGTTCATTATTTATTACACAGACTGGGAAAATATATTTTGCAATGACATATCTGATGAGGAACTTACATCTAAAATGTATAGAATACTCCAAAATCTCAACAAGAAAAGTGTAAACAATCCAATCACAAAATGAGCATAGGATAAAAATAGGTACTTCATCAAAGAAGACATTCAGAATGCAAACACACATATGTTCAAAATCCCTAGCTACTAGAGAGATGCAAGTCAAAACAACTACAAGATACCATCTCACCCCAGTAACAAAAGCAAAATTCAACAGGGCAACAAACAACTAATGTCGGTGAGGTTGTGGAGAGATTGGAACTCTCATTCACTGTTGGTGGGATGCAAAATAGTACAACCACTATGGAAGATGATCTGTCGTTTTCTCAGAAAGTTCGAAATAGAAATAACATTTGACTCAGCAGTTTCACTACTAAGAATATGTCCTAAAGAAACCAGAACTTCCACCCAAACAGATGTATGCATACCCATGTTTATTACTGTGTTATTCACAACAGCAAAGAGATGGAAGCAACCCAAGTGCCTATCCACAAATGAATGGATAGAAAAACTATGGTATATTAACACAATAGACTATTATGCAACACTGAAAAAACAAAGAATTTATAAAATATTCCACAACATGGTTGACCCTGGAGGACATTATGCTGAGTGAAATATCTCAGTCATAAAAGGACAAGTAACTGTATACACCACAGTTAAAAAACAGGACTTACATGGAGCTTGGGTGGAAACTAAGAAAAGAGGGGCTAAAGAAAACTTTAAAGAAAAACTGTTGTTCTTACGTGTCATGGAGTCACCTGTGACTTATAGTGACCCCATGTACAATAACTTTGACCCCTTCCGTATCCTGAGCCAATCTTATAATTTCCAACAGACCTACTTCCACTACTGCTCACTAAGTCAACCCATCTCATCCAGGGTCTTCCTCTTCTGTGCTGTCGCTCCACCCTCCCAAGCAACAGAACTGAAGATGATACTTACTTTTTGGAAGGAATGATGAAGAGTATATGTTTAGAAGTGTTGAAAAAGAAAGTCTAAAGTTTTGTTAACATTCGTTCTTAAGCAGAGGAATAGGTAATAAGTTATTTTAAATCTTTAAAAAGTTATGTGTGTGTGCATGTTATTGTTGTTGAGTCATGAACAACCTACTTGAATCCTGTCCTATCCTGTGCCATCCTCATCATCTCTGACAGAGTTGAACCCATTGCTTCAGTCACCATGTCCATCCACCTCAACGGGGGTGTTCCTCTCTTTTACTGATGCTCCATTTTTCTAAGGATGATATCCCTTTCAAAGCAATAGCATCTCTTAGCAACATATCACAGTATGAAAGACAAAGCTTCATCCTCCTTGCTTCCAAGGTGCTCTTGTTGCACCTTTTCTAAGACATACCTGCTTTTGTGGAAGTCCATGGAATGGTTAGTACTCTTCTCCAACACCACAGCCAAAGGCATCAATTCTTGTGTTACTCTTCTTTACTGTACTGCTTGCTGTCAGATGTATAATTAGAAATAAACCAAAAAACCATGGCCTGAATCTCGTGCATCTATCTTAGTCTCCAAACTGACATCATTGCTCTTCAGTATTCTGGAGAAATCTCTTACAGCAGACCTATCTAATGTAATATGTCTTCTTATCCCATGACTGCTGGTACCAAGCAAGTTGATGTGGATCCAAGCGAGATGAAGTCCATGACAGCTTCAATCGTTTCTCCAACTATGATGATGTTGACTACTGTTGGTCTAGTGGTAAGGACCTTTGTTTCCTTGATGTTGAGATGTAATTCATATTGAAGGTCGTAGTCTTTGATACTCTGTAGCAAGTGTTCAAGTCCTCCTCACTTTTGGCAAGCAAAGTTATATCATCTGAATAAAGAAGATGGTTTATGACTCTTCCTCCAGTTCTGATGCCACATTTTTTTCATAGAGTCTGCATTAATGAATGATTTCTTGAATGAATGATTGAATAGGTATGGAGGACGGACACATCCATGATGCACACCCATCCTGATTTTAAACCGTGCATGTTCCCTTGCTCTGTTTAGACAACAGTTTTTTGATCTAGGTATAGATTTCACTTGAGTCCAATTAGGTGTTCTGGGGTCTCTTTCTTCTCAATATTAGTCATGTTGTTGTTGTCATGTGCTGTCGAGTCGCTTGCGACTCATAGCAACCCTATGTACAACAGCCCTAAATTCTGCTCTGTCCTGTGCCAATCACACTGCCTCTGACACACCCATCCTGATTACCCCAGTCACTGAATCAATCCACCTCATTGAGAGCCTTCCTCTCCTGTGCTGTCCCTCTACCCTACCAAGCATAATGTCCTTCTCCAAGGACCGGTCCCTCCTTACAACATGTCCTAAGTATGTCAGATGGAGCCTCAGAATCCTTGCCTCCAGGGAGCCACCTGGTTTAACCCTTTCCAGGATGAATCTGTTTGCTTTCCTAGCAGTCCATGGTATTCTCAATACTCTTCTCCAGCACCACAGCTCAAAGGCATCAATTCTCCTATCCTCCTTGGTCATTGTCCAACTCTCTGATGCATAACAAGTGATAGCAAAGACCATGACCTGCATCAGATGAACCTTAGTCTCCAGAGAGACACCGTTGCTCTTCAGCACTTTGGATAGGTCCCTAACAGCAGACTTTCCCATCACAATATGTCTTTTAATTTACTGGCTAGTGGTGCCAAAAGTGTTGACTGTGGAGCCAAGCAAACTAAAGCTGTGAACAATCTCGGTCTCTTCACCATCCATCCTGATGCTACATAGTTTTTTGAAATCTACACAATCAAATGCTTTTTCATAGCCAATATAACACAGATAGGCATTCTTCAGCTTTCAGCCAGAATCCATCTGATACCTGCAATTATATCCCTGGTATCACAGATGACCTAGTGGTAAGAAGATGCACTGTAACCCCGGAGGCATGCAGTTCAAATCCACCAGCTACTCTGTGGGAGAAGGATGGGAAACATCCCCCTGTTCGATTAAACGCCTCTGAAAACTCGCCAGAGGATCAGCTCTGTTTCAGGTATGACTCAATGGTACACAACAACAGCAACAAATGCAGCACAGCTTCTTACAACTAGAGCTCCATTTAGATAGATAGATAGATAGATAGATGATACGATGATAGATAATAGAAAGATAGATGAGAGAGGAAGGAAGGGCGGAAGGGAGGAAGGGAGGAAGGGCGGAAGGAAGGGAGGAAGGAAGGAAGGAAGGAAGGAAGGAAGGAAGGAAGGAAGGAAGGAAGGAAGGAAGGAGAAAGAAAGATATCTCA